ATATAGACTGAACGCAAATACCAAGAACGAGTTGCAGAGTATGAGCATATAAAGAGCGAATGTCGTAAGCAGAGATCTTCAATCATCCGCCAAACAACTGGTTGCCATTGGAGAGGAAATCTTAGAGAAGATCTTGATTTAATGACGATGTGATCAAATAGACAGTTAGATGTCTCTAATGATCCAGGCAAAACAATTATCTGTCTATTTTATATAGAGGGATTACTACTATAAAAGGGAAAATATCGAATGTAAACGGATTCCAATCCCCATCCAGTGGAACCCCGCTCATTCTCTCATTAACTGAGCTCTCCTAGCCCTTTCTGTCCCCTTACCTATCTCTTCCTCCTTCCTCACCCTCTATTCCTTGGGTAAGATCCAAAAACAAACTGGGATTCAACATCCCGATAAACAAATGAAATACACAAACATCTAACAAGTTCACCACATGAAATAAACATGACGAGCGCTAAAGATTAAGGAAAATTTCTTCCGATAACAAAGCGACAACTTACTTCACAGAGTCCAAATCCTTGCCATTATTATCCAACACCACATCGAAAGCGGCCGAGCCCACAACCTTACCCACGTCGGCGGGATCACCCCAAACCGTCCGAGCGCCAGCACTGACCAACTCCTGTAAAGCCAACCAAAAGAACAAGTAAAACCGGTAAAACAACAAAACAGAAATCTCTTCTAACACAGCAGAAATCACAGAATGGGAATCAACTGAGAATCTCGTGAAGGGCGGCTTCTTCATTTTTTCGGAACTCTCATCTCCGACGGTAAGTATTTTGACCTCATGGCCGGCGCCGAGAAGTTCGCGAGCGAAGTAGAAGCCGATCACTGCGTGGCCACCGCTATTGGTGTTAATGATGAGAACCCGCTTGTTTTCCATCTCTACCTCTGGATTAGTGGTCGGAGAAGCTTCAGCCACAAGACGAGAGCGAGAGGAGACAGCACGGGGGAGCGAGAGGCATAGGAATTTACGATAGGAGAGGGGAGCTTGGGCAAGAGAGAAGGGCGAAGGAAAGAGGAAGAAAGAGCGCTGCCATGAATGAGAAGCTGCGGTGGCGACGACGGAGCTGGCGGAAGACATTGCCGGTGGATTATGGTGTCTAGTAGCGGCGGCGAAGAATGGCATTCGGGCAGCGTTGATCGAGTGAGTGAGAGGAGAGCTCGAGAGAGATGATAAGGTGAAAAAAATTTAAACTCCAAAAGAGCATTTGCATATATGCCCACTCATCTAATATCTATATTTTAATTTCGGGGCTTATATATATATATATA